GATGATGATGATGATGATGATGATGATGATGATGATGATGATGATGATGATGATGATGATGATGATGATGATGATGATGATGATGATGATGATGTGGTGGTGGTGGTGGTGGTGGTGGTGGTGATGATGATGATGATGATGATGATGATGATGATGATGATGATGATGATGATGACATCCTGAAAGATGCCACGGGAAGGACTGGTTGGTTGGTCGGCTGGTTGGCTGGTTGGTCAGTAGGCTGGTTCGTCGGTAAGTAGGCTGGTTTGTTGGTTGATCGGCTTGCCAGTTGGCCACTCTGGTGTTCGTTGCATGTCATTTTGTATTCGGCTTGCCTGCAAACGGAATCTCGTGCAATTGCGAGTGCAATGCAACGCAATGCGCTGCTCTGAAATGCAATGCAAACGCAAGCCAATGCCAATGCAATTGCAGAGGATGGGGGCGTGTCGACAGCGGCCTGGCTGGGATGGCATACTTTCATAGTCACGATGGACGGTGGGGCGCCGGCTCCCCGCCCCCCCTCGCCTGGGCAGGAGGGGGGGGGGAGGGGATGGCCTCCCCCCAACTCGACGCGATGCCCGCGCTCTGTGCAGAGACGCGGCCAGGGCCCGCGCCGAGCGCCGCGTCGTGGCCGGCAGAGGCGCGAGCTCGGAGGGCCAGGCGGGGCGCGGCGCAGCGCCGCCGAGAGGGCTGGGGCGGGGGCGGCCGGGGCGGCTGGGACGCTGACTGGCAGAGGAGCTCTGGCTCGCCTGGGGGGCAGGCGCTGTCGTCGCCATGGTCTAGGCCTCCCAGGTGGGGTCCGAGTGGACGGGGTCGGAGGATCGCGCCGCTTCGTCGATGCGCCGGCGATGCGGCTCGATGTGGGCCCGATTTCTCCACGGTGGAGTCGCCGATGCATCGCCGATGTCGCCGATGCATCGCCGATGCGTCGGCGATGTATCGCCGATGTATCGGCGATGCGGTGCGATCCTCCGACCCCATCTACCCCGACCCCATCTAGGAGGCCTCTACATGGGGGAAGCGGGTCCTCAGGTTTTTCACCCTTCTTGGCCTCCCGGGCCCTCCACGGGCCCCAGGACGGTCAGAAAACGACTCGAGGATGAGGATATCGTTCCGGTGGGGCAAGGCCCCAGGGTCCAGGACCCGTTTCCCTCAGCACCCGCTTTCCCCATGCTGACTGGGGGGCAGGGCTCGTGCTGCCGGTTCCACGGTGACCACGCTCACAGCGGCGAGCGCCGTTTGGCCCGACGGCGGCCGCTGCCCACTCGGGGCCACGCCTGCTGCGGGGGCGACGTCCCCGCCGATGCATCTCTCCGCCTCTGGCGAGCCAAGGGGAAGGCCCAGTTCGTGGGCGGGGGACCTGTCTGTGGCCACCGCCTCGCGGTCTTGACTCCCCAGACGCGGTCCCTGTGGATGCAGGGCGGCCCGGCGTGAGTACCGCGTGGGAGATGCGTCCGTGGCATCGCGCGTCCACGGGATCGCGCCTCGGCATCCAGACCGCGAGGGCGCTGGTGTGAGTAGTTGTGCTGTCTCGTCGCCCGCAGGCAGGGGGGAGAGTTCTCCGCCCACGCGCCTCCTCAGACGCCTGGACGCTCAGCTTCGTCGACTACGTGCCTCCCGTCGGTGCCGGCGGCCCTCTGAAGGCGCGCCCGCGCGCCCATCATGGCTCGTGGCTCCGCAACTGCGTGCAGTCCTCCGCGTCTCGGGGGGACTCTGTCGGCAGAGGGTACCACCTGCACACCGCCATGCCGCCATTCCTGGCCAGGTCCAGCCCAAACTACGTGCGAAGAAGGGAAGGAGGAGGAGGAGGAGGAGGAGGAGGAGGAGGAGGAGGAGGAGGAGGAGGAGGAGGAGGAGGAGGAGGAGAGAGGGAGGATGAGGAGGAGGAGGAGGAGGGGAGGAGGAGGAGGAGGGAGGAGGAGGAGGAGGAGGAGGAGGAGGAGGAGGAGGAGCGAGGAGGAGGAGGAGGAGAGGAGGAGGAGGAGGAGGAGGAGGCGGAGGAGGAGAGGAGGAGGAGGAGGAGGAGGAGGAGGAGGAGGAGGAGAGGAGGAGGAGGAGGAGGAGGAGGAGGAGGAGGAGGAGGAGGAGGAGGAGGAGGAGGAGGAGGAGGAGGAAGGAGGAGGAGGAGGAGGAGGAGGAGGAGGTCGGAGGAGGAGGAGGAGGAGGAGGAGGAGAGGGTAGGAGTAGGAAGAGGAGTAGAGTACGGAGTAGAGATAGTGAGTAGGAGCAGGAGTAGAGTAGAGTAGGAGTTAGGAAGTCGGAGTGAAGTAGAGAGTTAGGAGTATTAGTCGTAGTCGTAGTAGTCGTTAGTAGTAGTAGTAGTAGTAGTAGTAGTAGTAGTAGTAGTAGTAGTAGTAGTAGCAGTAGCAGTAGCAGTAGCAGTAGCAGTAGCAATAGTAGTAGTAGTAGTAGTAGTAGTAGTAGTAGTAGTAGTAGTAGTAGTAGTAGTAGTAGTAGTAGTAGTGGTAGTAGTAGTAGTAGTAGTAGTAGTAGTAGTAGT